GAAAGACGCGCAGCAGAACGGAGCCCTAAGACCCCGCGGGGCAGCGCAGCCTTCCCATTAACACAGACTCCTTATATCCCTGAAAAAACTCTCCAGCCCCAGCAGGTCCACAACTTTAAAGACATTTAAAGATGGAAACCAACCTATTAGGAAGTCAAACTGCCTCAGTAAAAAGGCGTCTTCTGTAACACCCGTAGCAAAGCTGCCCTGGGGACTGCTACGTTTTTAAGCAGCAGGGCTGGGTGATGAAACCCGTCAGCAGCGACTGCCGTTGGCCTCCCATATTCACCACGCCGCTTCCACGCTGTTACACACGTTCTCAGCACTCGCAGGGATGCAGAGACCCCACTTTTATCAACACGCGTATTGCAGCGTTGTGAGCAGCTCCTGAAGGTTATTCCTCCTTTCTTTTTGGTGGTATTTATAAACCCCGCGTGGAGTTGCTATGGTATCTGCTCCTGGCAGTCTGCTCAGTATTCAGTGCTTTTCCTCTCACCTTCACCATCGCAGTGACCTTTACTTTGCAAGGAAGAGCTCACAGAGCTCCTACAGTCTCAGATGTGACACGACACACCGTGCAAAAACACCGGCTGCTAAGCAGGAGAGGGCTCTGCCGAAACACCTCAGCTGCAAACGCTGCCTGAGAGACGGACAGACAGGCAGAATGATTTCAACCCAAACCAGAACCAGAAAGAACAACCTGTCACCGTAACTGCCAGACCACCAGGAAAGGCACAGGAAGCAGGAATTTCAACTCCATCTTCTCTTAACATCTTGGATATCAAGTAATTTAAGCATTTTTTTTCTACATCTCTTCGTTTCCAAAGCCCAATTTGCAAAAATCTTACTTCTAGGATAGCTTCTCTTACATCAGTTGAACAACTTGCACTAGGGACTGTTCGCAAATGGGAGCTACACAGCTTTAATCTGCTGATAGAAACTCATCTCTGTTAATATTCTAGTCTGTTTTAAGAGACTTTGCACAAAGCTGCAGCAAGGCAGCCACATACGATGCATGTCCTGGGTCTTGCAGCAAGTTGAACGGAGACCGCCACAACTCGCTTCACCCTGCGGACACCAGCGTGTGGCTCTCTCTTGTCAGGCTTCATCGCAGGCCACACAGCAGTAGTTGCATTCTCATCACACTCTTACTGTAATTAAAAGATCAGGAAAAAAAATCCCTCTATGATTAGGAGAGTTTATTTCAAAAACAGACAGAAGTTTTCTCGCCATTTCTTCTGCTGTTTTCTCCTCCCCACATCCAGACGTGGAGCTAAGTCCTTACTTGCCTGATAGAGGGTTCCCCACCACACACACCAGCCCTTTCATCTTCCCCACGAGCAGAACAGATCAGGGCACCTTTAGTACTTTGTAGTCTCTTTTAAAATGGATTTAGCTGAACTTCCTATGCAAAATTTTGACCTTCCCTGAAATCCCTTGATCAGCAATTTCCTTTGGTTGCTCTTTCATGTTTGAGGCATTATGAAACACTGGAAACTACACATACTTTTATAAGGGAGTGAGTGAGAAAATTCAAATAACCGTCTCCCTCGTTGGTTTCTCTTTCCAGCTTTGAAACCTCTCTCCTAATGGAGGTTTTGCTCTTGAAAGTCCCCTGGTTAGCAAGCAGCTGAGGATGCAGCTTCCTTAGTGCCTGACTGTGCTTTCAGCCCAGGGCCAAGTAATAAAAACTGCCCAGCTCTGTGAGGTCTGAATCAGGTGCTAACGCGGACCAGCTGCTGGAGCTGCTGCTCTCGTCTCCTCCACCCTCCCTCTCGGTGCTGGGCACTGGCACGTTCACTGCGTGATAACTTATAGCAATGAAAGGCCAATTTAAGAGGAAAAAGCATTACTGACAGTGCTCCCCCCCAAAAAAGAGACCCTACTTTAACTGTTTGCTGCCAAGGACTGCTGAATCCAGCGTCCCCATGACACACTGAAAACATCTGCACTGAGCGGCTGCCTCTGCGAACAGGCACCAGAAAAGTATTCACAGGCCCAAGGAGAGAGACAAAGACTGTGCACATGCATTTATTACTTCATACAACACATTTGCTTATTGTACAAAAATGAACAGTGCCACCCAAGAGTGTTTACAAAAAACACCAAAACGCAGCCTCAGAACAAGTTTTAGTGTAATTTTAGGTACAAACTACTGAAGCACACATACTGGACAGTGTGTCTGCATGTATTATATACATATACACACATATACATATATATATATTAATACACACATGCACAGAGCAAACACATGGCTGCAGCAGGCCGTGATGGATTGGAACGTTGCAGTCTGATGATTCCAACACCCCCAAAACCAGCGGGACACAAAGTGGACGCACGGGGCTCGCCGAGCTCGGCACCGGGGCCTGGAGCTGCCCCTGCTGGTGGCCTGGCCCCGCTTCCGCGCTCGCTCCGGCCCTGCAGGGCCTCCCGCTTCCGGCCCAGGCCCAGCCCAGGCGCTCGGCCTGGCCACGGTGCCTGCACGCACGCGGTCGGGACGCGCTTGCCCGCTCTGTGGTGGCGGAGCACGCACAGACCTGCGCACACAGAAGTCCCTTTTGGGCAGAGATCGCCACCCTGAGAGTAAACGTTTAGGTAGAGATGACCACCCTTACAGTGAAGGGCTGCAGGGTCTGTTCCCGCTACAGAGCAGCGGACTTTGCTGCAGGAGGGCAGGTTAGCACTTCAAGGTGGAGGGTTTATGGAAGAGCCAAGGAACTGCATTTGTGCTAACACTGTACTTGGATCAGCAGAAGGCGCGCTGCTGTTTGTGGACTGAAAGTGCGAAAACTGATGCTTCCTCCTCTCTAGGGAGCAGCGGCTGAACTCCAGCACTGCTCTTGGGCAGCCAAACGGGAGTCCAGCTCTGGTCCCTGCGCGGGCTGGACTGAGCTCCCTGGGTAGCTGCAGCCCCCCAGCTCGCAAGTGAGCTGCTCCTGCTCTAGCACTGCTCTGAAAGCAACGAGCTGCTGCTCGCGTGTCCCTTGCACAAGAATCTCATAGTGTTACCAGTTTCTACTGCAGTAAAACAAAAAAGTATCAGCTGTAGCCTACAGCCTTCGTAAGGAGAAAATGACCAAGTGTGGTGATGTTTTTAAAGCTTTCTCTCTATAAAGGTCTAGTTATGTCCTGGATGAAAGGACTAGCACTTGGATGAATTTATCCAGCTCTAAAGAGTCAACACAGCTTCTGCTCACTCATCTTCCAGGGCCAAGAGCACCATTCCACCTGGACACCGTGCTGCGAAGCCCAGGCCTCTACTGCACCTACCTAACACCAACTGGTCAGGGAGGAAGGAACTGGAGTTTTTATTCTCCCCATAGGTGAAAAGGGTAAAAGTCAACGTTCTTCCTGTGCTAACCCCCCCTGTCCTTCAGCCTAACAGGGTCTACTCCTGGAGAGCAGAGACACTCTGTTCTTCAGAAAAATACCAACAGCAGCAGTGTCTCAACCCATCCCAAAAGGTATTTTTCTGGAGTGCCACATGGAAATGTGCCTCAAGTCCCCAGTGAGCCTCATGCCAAATAAAACACTGACAGAATTGCCATGACAATATTAATCTCCCTGATGTTTCTCCATGTATATTGGGGCAGAACCTATAAAGTGACAGGATCAATCCAGGATGTGTTCTTCACATAAAAAGAAGAAAATATTGACAGACAGAAAATGGTTTCAGCCGTAGCCCAACCAGACAGATGCTACAGCGTTGTCGAGTTTATACCCTGGCAGCCCTTGCTGCTGAACAGAAGACACTAGAGCAGCATTTACCTTAGCAGCTCACACATGTCATGCCCAAAAGGTTCTCAGATCACTGTGATGAATTACTGACATTAGAACTAGCAAAAAGAAACAACAGAAGGACCCACCCCCATTCAGTGGGGAGAGAGTTCTGAGTACTTGCCTTATGTTGTGAGAGATATCTGGTTCTCAGGCCTCTTTACCACACATGGTTCCACCACCAGCAGAGCCCCCAGGGGCAGAATCTCACTGCGTGGCCCCTCCAAGTCGCTGAAATACGCAGGAAATCACTGAGAACTTCGGGGGCTGAATATTTCCCTGTAAATCCAGCCTTTCGTTCTCATTCCTAGTAGGGGAAGCCTCTGCGTGTCAGGCCCACGGCCAGAGTCAGTCAGCAACCCCCGGGAAAGGAGCTCTCACACCAGAGTGTAACCTGCCCCTCTCACCCCCGCGCTCGCACTTTTATTTAGGACTGGGAGGGGAAGGAGCAGTAAGAACAGAAACAACATCACAGAGATCATTTTCCAAAAATCATCTACACACTTATACATTTTTAAGAAACCTTCATAAAAAAATGTAAACACTTCTACAACATAAACAAGTGCAAATTCCATTGCCTAGGACAGCCAGGAAAGAGTTCATGCCTAATCAGAAGTGGAAGTCCAGAGCCATCTCTTTTAAGGACAGCCTTGATATTAGTGTTTTTCACTTTATTAAATTCCTGGTACTTAAATAATAATAATAATATCTAGAAAGCACAAAGTATAGTTGGATGATACATAAGCATAAAAGTGCAAGGTGTAACTTAAGTCAAAGTGCCTACCGGTTGAACTGGGTACAAACTATGTTTAGAGCTCAAGCATAAATCGGACTAAAAGCAAACCAGGCCCTTTGCTTTTCCTCTCCTTTCCAATAGGAGCAGTCACAGGTAGCACCAGTCCACTCTGAAGGGACATCCGTGCCCCTGGGCGCACAAGAGGGGAGAGCTGAGCCCATGTCCTAATGAAGGCCAGTCCTTATTTCCTCTGTGCAATGCCAATTTATCCACACACTTTGCTCTGAATATTGAGCAAAGAGAACCACAGGAGAGAACAGCAATTCCAGTGCCATATTCAAGGCAGACAGAGTCAGCAGCTCCGCAGAGACGCGGTGCTGCTTAGGAGCGGGGGAATAGCGCAATTCCAGTGCCATATTCAAGGCAGAGACGCGGCGCTGCTTAGGAGCGGGGGAATAGTGAGCCCTTGTTAGCTCCTCTGTACTCACATCCCCCTGGCAGATTTATTGATTTCAGCCATGAAAGATCACTCACTACTGGAGACAAGGAACACTTCTCTTTACCAGACAAATAACAGATTATCCTCAAAAGTATATTTTTCCCTTCCTGTTTGTCCAGTTTAACTCTTCAGACATTAAATATCATTTATAATACAAGTTCGTTACTGCGTTCATTCCCTTTAAATGCAAATGGAGCTTAAAATGAGATCTGGTCACCAGAATAGGTGGAGGAAGGGGAGGGGGAAAAGAGGCAGACCTTTCATTAAACCTTTAAAAGGATTTTCCAACTCATTTTACAAGTGAAAACAACAAAACCCATAAAAGTCTAGCAAGAGAGAGCTGTCAGTGAGACTAAGCAGATCCAAACTCTGCCATCCATTTCTCATACTTCTCCAGGTCTGCCGCAGAAACAGATTTGGAGATTTTCTTCAGAGCCAGCTCAAAGTCCCCCTTGGTAACCGGCATCTGAAGCTCCTCTTTAGAGAGCGCCCGGATCTCCTCCGGAGTCAAGCCGTTAATGCGCCGCCTCATTGCCATCAAAGAGGCATCCCTGGAAATACAGGACAAGGCATGGGAGCTAATTGGTAGCAGCACGTGCTGTAAGCCTGTGAATTCTCATTGTATCCTCCTGCTAGAGACCACTAGCAGGAACACTTAGAAAAGCATTTATTTACCATGGAAGATGTGGATCACATCATTCTAGCTTCTATATTCCCCCATCACTACATTAATTCAACATAATGAATGCATCGGTACCAAAACCCTTTTAACCATATGGCAAATGTGCAGAGATAATTAAAACTATAAAACTGAAAGCCTTTTACAATGATTCATAGAGAAGAAATCTTCTGCCTTCAGTGCAGCAAAGGGCAAGGTGGGAGGGGAACTGTGCTCAAAATTTCTTTTTTCAATAGCCTTAATTTTTCATCTCCCCTCTGTCCCTTAGATTCTGACCCTCTCCACATCACATAGCTCACTAGGGGAGCCAGCAACTGCCAACTGGCCTCTCTTCCCTTCCCTTTCTCCTCTCTGGTCGTGGCACAGCAGCCCTTCCCTCTCCTCACATTTTGGGCTCACCACAGTGGGCCAAAAGGCCGAGCCCTTGGCTGTTGGCAGAAATATTATGGACTCTGCAAAGTCAAATTGGGGAACAGACTCACTTGTGCTGTGGATTCTCATCTAGACCACGCTACACTACGTGAGGAAGAGGGAGGAAAACTAAAACTTCAGTTCCCAAATTCCTACCCGCACCAGTGGAATTCCTGTGCTCCTGGCTTCCCTCAACAAGCTGCCTCAGAGTAAGAGCTGCAAGAAGTCCATCCACTTGGGAACATCTTGGGAGAAACATCTGAGACAGGGCTCAACTTCTCATATAAATGGGAACTGAAAGTCTGATTCTTTACTTCATTCCAGAATTTCCCTTGGAACAGGGAATGAGACTATTGCAGCGGGGATATGATCCCTGGGACAGTGTCTGTGTTTAACATAACCTTATGTAGGCACAAATTCAGTAATATGTTGTAGACACTGTCTGCATCACCTTTGCGCCTAGAAGCATCAGAGAGAAATCAAAACTCTGCTGCAACTGGTGCTGTTTCAACATACAATATATAGGAGCCCCAAAGAAATGTTTTGAGATGTTCCTTTGTATCAGGAAACTCTACCTCCAAAACCTATGGGATTAGAAGCAAATCCAAACCAGTTTTATACTAGACAAGCAACATGCAATAAATGCAAACAGTGGTAACAGCAGAGATTTGCTCCCCCTGCCCTTAACTCCTCAGCAAACTTAGTTCACATCTTCTGTGAAGACTGCATTAGACTGCTCAACATGACAGGAGCGGTAGCACTAAATGGTTCTGGGCCTCACTCACAGCCACTGCTAGCACAGCCCCAGCTTTTATGGCATAAAGTAACTAATGGTTTCACACGCAGCTTTATTTGAAAATTAAGGTGAATAAGATACCTGCAAACATTAGTGATGTCAGCACCAGAATAGCCTTCAATTTTCTCAGCAATTTCTTCAAGGCTGATATCAGGATCCAGTTCCACTTCCCGAAGGTTAATCTTTAGTAGTTCTGCCCTCCCTTTTGCTACAACATAAATAAATATTTGTTTCAAGACTTAGAAGAGTAGCATCAAAAAAGATAAAAATGCAACTTAGATTTTCAATTAAAAATACAAAAGGGTTTAATGTAAGAAAAGTGACATAATAAATCACAGTTAAAGTGTGCAGACAAGCAGAGCAAAGCATATGGATAAAGCAGCATATTTTAAACAGTATAGTCTAGCGACATTTTCAAAGGTCATACATCACTACAAACCTCTGTTATGTGACAGGTGACAAAGCACTTGGTCACATACTACCCAAGGGCACAAAAGCACAAGCCTGCTTCTGCTTCTTCTCAGAACCCTTTGGATTCACTTGCTGTTCAACTGTTTGACTGCGTATTATTCACACAGTCTCATTAGAAACACAAAGGGGATTCTATTAACAGAGCTGTAGACAACACAAAACCCTTAAGAACAGGCTGAACTTTAAGCATGCATTTAAGTGCTTTGCCCATTTGGGCCCAAGAAAGCTGCTGAAGCCTGACAGAAAGCAGATACATTAAGACAGTAAACACAGTAATAGAGTTGCAATACAAACATTCTCATACTGCACCTGGTTTTGCAAATGAGGTATGCACCTAGGAATAACCAGGTACGTAAAGGGATACCTGTGCAGCCAATTAACCCTTTTTTCTTTGGAGGGCACGTGCACACGTGCACAGAACAGGCAGCCCAGGCTTGTAACGGGGGATTCCCATGTGACAGCTCGGGCCTCGGTGTCCCTGTGTGCAGGGCAGCAGGGAGGCCGAGTGCTGCGCTGGCTACAGGGAACGTACCCAGCTCAGCGTCTCTATTTCCACAGCGACCAATTTTTATGACTTACAGAGACAGCTACAGAGAAAGCAGCAGCAAGAAAAGCTAAAAGTCTTTCAGAAACATCCATACTCATGTTTTATTCATTAGTGTCCCTAATTAAAAAAAAAGGGGGGGGAGGGAAATAGAAAGCAGAAAGCCCGTCCAAGTCTGCCGTTTTTGAGTGTTCTGCAGAACTGTCAGTAACACAGACTGCTATCAGTCACATACAGCTGCCACTGACTATAAAATGGAGATTTGTTATCTACAGAGCACCTCAAGATACACATGGCAAACCTGCAGAGAACCTCCTCTCCATCGGAGAACATTTTTATTTTTTAAAAACTTTTCCTGGTAGGATCAGCAAGCCCTTATGTTTTGAAAATGATACACAGCAGAATATATACTCACATCAAATTCCACAGTTTGCAGGTGTATATATAACACAGTGTATCATAAAATTTTTCAATTAAAATGTCTGGCCACATCAGATTACACAGCATAATTATCAATACATCATTTACATTTTCAGCTCAATGTCCTCATGTACAGAATAAATGCAATGGAAAGTAAGACTCGAAATACAATGGGAATAAATTTCAAAAGTTGTCCAGGGTGTAATACACTGTGCCAAAAACCAATCTTGTTTAATTAGAAACAAGAGCAAAAACTGATAGGATTTTAAACTAATTGGTCATAAAGACAAGCATCCTGTTAAGAGCTGTAGCTGCCTGTAAGCTGCAAAGACAAGCTGCAGAACTATTATAGCGTCCTTATACCTGCTAAACTCAATCACAACTGCTGTCACCATGACCACGCATCTTGTTATCTTGAGTGCTCATGCAGGGAGAGGAGGCATTCGCTGTACCAAGAAGAAACAGAGCGATGCAAACTTCAAGTGATAGGAATCTCAAAATTAATAGGACAGATAAATGACAGCCCAGAAAGACAATGTGAGCTGAGACGTCCTAGGGCAGGAGAGCCATCAGCCTGCTGCTTCCTGAGCCACTGCAAGCCCAGGCATAAAGGGCAGCAAGCAGTGATTCACAAGGAACTAAGCCTGCGAGTGAAAATTCATGGATCCACTTCTTTGCATTCATCTACAAGGGCAGGGAGTGCATTTGCAGTACACGTCTAAAGGCTGCCTTTGATGATCACTCAAGGATTGACTGTTAAACATTTAAAATAATTCCAGGCTCATTAAAACTAACTCTCCTTCAGAATGTAAGAACCCATCAATGGGCTTGCAATGAAAAACTGCAGCTCTTTGTTTTCAAGCCCCAGAGCAAGTATTTGCTTTTTCTCTCACTCTCTTTTAAGCAATCCAGCCAAATGATTAACCCCTGAAACTCACTGTTCATCACAGAAACATCAAAATTCATCCCAAACCCAGCAATCCTGAAACAGCCCTAAGATAGTCTTGGAAAGACTATTGTAAAGGAAAACAGCAACCATACCCGTGGGCAGAGGTATATAAATCCTCTTCTCCAGCCTCCTTCGGAGAGCTTCATCAATATCCCAGGGAAAATTTGTAGCTGCTAATACCATAACCATTTTGGAAGGGTCATCATTTTCCAGAGCACCGCCCACCCCTGAAAGAAAATAGTTTAGAGAAATTTCACTCCACTTGTCTTCTAGGTTGCCATATTTGCTAAGAAACACTGCACAAACCTTGCAGAAGCTTGAACAAAGCCTGGCAGCACTTTTCTAAATTTCTCTTAGCATAGGAGTGACAAGACCACCATTGCCACAGAAAAGGGATATCTAACTCCTTTGGACAGGCAAGGGAAGGCTCTTTTTGATAGTATTAATACTGCAGTCATTTGTGATGTGTAGTTACTAGTCCCACCAATACCAGAACAAAAAAACTACTTCTGTTCAATCTGGCCACAGAAGAACTACGAGCGACTCCTTGGCCTCCCAAAGAAGGACTGCAAAGAAATGGTCTTTTTGGGACAAAAGTTGCCTCTGTGAGTTCACTACAACGCACATGCACACCTGAGGGCATTACAAGCAGTTGTTAGGTAATAACCACAGCACAGAGATAGGTATCAAACTAGTGAACCATCAGTTGTTCCTTAGACAGTGCTTCTCACCATGTGTACCTGCACAGCACAGGTACTGAATGTGCTTAACAGGGAAATATCGGCTGCCACAACAAGATATGGCAAAATCAGGTCTGACAGTGGCAACCCTGAGCAGGAGATTGTGGGAAATAAATTTGTTTGAACTACATCACATCATAAACAAAGACCTGAATTCAATTGTACGAATCTTCATTATTCGCTTCTCCTAGAGACAGCTGCCTCCTAAAAATGAACTTTCAATTTTCCACTTTATTAAAAAAAAAAAAAACAAAAAAAAACAGAACACCGTTTTCATTTATTTGCCTTTGAACACTCTCAAAATGCACTACTCAAACTCCATCTTATTTTTCCTCTACCCACAAAGCCCATTTTTTTTCAGATTGCTCCAGTTCTGATGTTCCCACCTGGAAAGAAACAGCATCCCAACCCTCAACTCAGATCTAAACACTAGTTACCATCCATTTGCACAAGCAGCTCTGACTTGACTCTGCGACTCGCCTCGTGTTCGTCGGAGGTGCCTCTGCGGCTGCAGATGGAATCTATCTCATCAATGAAGATTGTTGTTGGAGCATAAAATCTTGCCTTCATTCAAATGAAAACATCATTATTAAGACTGCAGCAGCAAGTATAGGCCCTCACTAGACCACAACCCAACTGAGCTACATGAAGAAATAAAGAAACATAAAGAAAAGAGTGTATCTCTTCTCCCTGTTGTGGGAAAGTAATTTAAAATATTGATTTTACAAGCAGTTTGGCATATGCTTAAGTTTATACACTTTAAAAGGTACCCTGTGAGTCTGAAGTCTTTCAGAGTTCCTTAAGCAATTAGTCTTGCAAAGACAAGAAGGAACACGATAAAAACATAGGCAGTGTTTAATGCCCAGATCTTTGTGCTGATGAAGGAAAAGCATAGAGAAAAGAAAGGAGTTCAGCCTGTCTCTGAAGTGACTGGTTTTCACTGAGACTATGGTAGAAGTTAAATGAAGAACATGGAAAGGTGAATGACCCTTCAGCACGTGTCTGTTTGACGTGTCTTCACATACCCACATGATGAGCAGCACCCAGTAATTCTCTGAGAAGCTTCTGCACTCACCAAAATAGCAACACAACTGGAATCTATTTTGCTTCTATAATACCAGTTCCTCAACTCCTCCAATTTCAAATCGACTTCTTATAGGCTTGTTATCCCAAATGGTAAGAACAATCTTGGTCAAGTTCATCCTTCTACATGGAACTGCCGCAATTCCACCTAAAGCCTGGAAAACGTTATCCTGAACAACATTCCTTTCTTTATCATCAAGAACATATGAGAAGAGAAAGAGTGCAAATTGTTATCTGGCCAAGAGGTGTCAGTGCAACAAACACCAGCACGAACCGGAGTTTGGGGAACCAGCAGAAAGGTCCCCTCTCACCTTAGTGATTCACAGGCCATGTTACCAAGGACGTACCATTTCAAACAAGAGGCGGACGAGCTTTTCGGACTCTCCCCTGTACTTCGATGTCAAAGTAGAGGAAGACACATTGAAGAATGTTGTCCCACATTCTGTAGCAACAGCTTTTGCTAACATTGTTTTGCCAGTGCCAGGAGGACCAACCATCAGCACACCCTGAAAGGTGAAGGCAGAAGTAATGAGCGACAAACGCAGAAACTTTGCAATCAGCTACCGTAGATCTTAATAGGCTCTATGATCTGTATAAATGCTTAAAAACATAATTATCATCAGCGGAAGACAAAAGAACCACGTTTCATGAGAACAGCACGGAAGTGTCTCCCTTTAAGTACTCCTAAAGCCACATTACTGCATGTTAGCATCTCCTGGCTGCAGTACCATCCTCAGCACTCTGCAAGAACATCGCTGCTTTTTCTGTTTTACAGATTAGGAACTGTGGCTCGTGCAGATTACAGCTCAGCCCCACAAAAACCTCAGTGATTGCTCAGAAACTTGAAGCTGCAAAGCTGAGCCGCACTCATTAAGTGCCAGGCAGGCACACATGAGAATGTCCCTCTGCCCATGGCCTTGTAGTCTATGGGACAGTAACAAGGAGCGCGGATGGTTCCCAGTGCAGCACACATCGACTCATCGCCCTGGAAGCAGGTTTTCTCCTAGACACACAGTGCCCTCAGGACCCTTGTTAAGATTATAGCATTAAGACCTGCTAATGGCCCTGATTACAGTGAAAGATAAGCGTTTTCAAGTGAGCTACTGCAACAGCTCCTGAATATGTGCAGCTCCTATCATGAGGCTACTGCTGACTCTCAAAAGAAAACTGACTTGTGATATTATTTTCAAATACAGTTATCTTTCTGAGTAATCTTTCCAACCCTGCGGCAGTGAATATGGCACTAGAATAGGGCACTGTAGTTCTGAACACAGCACTATGAAAATGTAGTTCTCAAGCAGCTTTTCTCTAACTGCAAAATCTTATTAGATGCTAACAAGAGTTCTCCAAAGTGAAGTTGTACTGTGCTGCAAGGGTAATCAAATTAGCTAGAATTAGAATTGCACACCATAATGTGCTTTGCAATTAATATCTTACATAAAATGCCACAGCAATAAAATATCCGTTAAACGCAAGCCACAGTGCAAATTAGGTTTCATCTGTTCCTCACAAAAATTTACTTCAAAAAGCACCAAGAATGACATGGAAGAGATCTATAAAAACAAATCAACCAGGAACACAATTATTCAAAAATGCACTGTTCAAAAGCAATAGCCTCTGTGCTCCATTTTCCATTAACTCTTAATACCTTTACTGCCATTTAACACTTTACTAATGCAAGCTCAACATACATTCAGTGGTAAATTAGGTTAGAAACATTCACTCTCCTTGCACGGAGCCAACGCTCCAGTGTCGCTCCTCAGGCTGCCCAAGGTTTCCTAAACTCCAGGGCAACCAGCATAAAATGTAAATTGAGCCTTTCTCTTCCCAGGAACATTCAGACACACGCTACGATTTGAGCTGCTGCAGAGCCTACCATAGTAGTCTAGCAAGAACAATTCTGAAGCAACTGGGTGGAGAATTTTCTGCCCGTGATACCAGGTCAGAGGGGTCTTACTGTTCTATCTGAGATTGAAATTTGGTTATTTAATACTTCAAAATAAGTTTCACCTCAATTCAAATCACACTTGACCCTGCACAAACTCTGTTTGCAATGTGAGCTGGTGATACCAGGAATTATTGTGCTTTTTTAGGCAACGCTTCAGTCCCCCATTTTTGTGGCAGGTTGGGTTCTGCCTTCTGCTTCCCCGCCTGCTCAGGGCTCTAAGCACAAGCCCTTGGCCTTGCGCCTCCCGTGTCACTATAAAAATGAGTGGCACCCAGCACGTGGCCTTGGGCACGTTATGTATGTGCTTCATCCAAGTGCAAAGCGACCACACCAGGGGCAAAGCCAGAGGAAAGTGAAGCTCTCTGGGAATAAAGAAGATAGAAATATCAGTTAAAATAGGAGAGAGAAAAGGTGAAATGGACTTCCCAGCTAAACTAGATGTGCACAGTTGTAAAAACAAACACATATGATCAAATTGCTTTTTCCTCTCTGCAATCTAGGAGGCTGCCACTCACTCACTAGTTAAAATCCTTGGCGAACACAAAGCCTTCTTTCTTCTTCCTCTAAGGCTCTCTTAATCCAGACTAGTCCAATAAGAGGCTGAAACACACTGCAGGGAGCGAGTGTTTTGATGCAAGCACTGCAGGGTTACTTCTTGTTGTTGTAGCAATCACTGGCAGAGCAGTGGGAAGCCCAGCAAGCAGCCCGGCCTTCTTGGCACAAAACAGCCCAGGGAAAAAGCAGGAGCAAGCCCAGGGACACTGGGAAAGGCCCGGCTGCAAGCACACAGCTCTCGTGTCCAGTCAGGAGGAGAGCTGGCTCCTTCGTACAAGGCACTAGCCTGTGAATGCTGTGTTGGAAGAAACTGTGAGGGCTGCCTTGGGAATTGTTCTGACGAGAGACTGAACATCCAAAAGCAGATTTGGCTGCCTTTTCCCTGAATTCTTGTTCTGAATGCCTGGGCTCAACAAATGCCTGCTGCTGCACTGATTACTGCAAGAAACAGCCTTCCCTTCAAAACTCCTCACCCTTGTAGCACAGTCAGAGGTCAACAATAACGAAAATACACGCTGCTCTGTGTGAAAAATAAATTGAGGAGAGTTACAGCTTCACAAGTCACCAGGAAAAAGGCTAACAATGAAGGCTCTTCATGGACTCTACAGGAACCAATCTGCATTTCAGACTGAAGGGATGAAATAATCTTTGAGGTTTTTTTTTTTTTTTCCTCTCTATGTCTACAACCAGCCATTTTTCAGGTGTGACGCTGGCTAGTAGGGAAGGAGAAAGGAGCCCGCAGCTCTTCAGGGCAGGCCGTGGTTTCCTTGGCCACTGGCACAGCGCTCAGAGCAAGTGCCACGGGAGCGCTCGTGCACTGCCTGCAGCCGGCGGAGATGGGGGCTGTACGGAGAGGGGGCCACTGCATCCTCGGTCCAGGAGAAACACAGCAGGTCCTCATGCCCTTGCAGGCCTTTGAAGACAGGACTGATGCGACTGCTGTAGTCTGTGAAGAGGGTATGGATCAACAGCCTCTTTTCCAAGGGGAAACAGAGATTCAGGCAGGCAAAAAGACTCCAAGATCTCTTTGTAAACTTTTGTCTACTGATATTTACTATCTACCCCGATAGTTTAGTTAATCTTAACCTTAACTCAAGCCCAGAGTTACCGGCCACAAGCCAGGAAGGTCTAAACCCCAAGCTCCTTCCTGGCTGGACCTCTGCCGTGTCCTGGCTCCCGTCTCAGGGTGGCCTCCCAGCTCCTCCTGCTTCCCTGGAACTCGCCGAAGCCTCCAGCGGGAGCCTCCCTCCAGCGGGAATCCCACAGCTCTCGACTCCCACCCATTCCAGCTTCCACTCTTTACACGAGCCCCAGGAACAAGTCCTCCCTCGTGAGTTCCTGCAGGGCTTTGTTCTGTAAATAAGCTCCATAATGTGGATCCTGGACCAGCTCAGGCTGCAGTGGACAACCCCGAAGGCCAATACCTTGTATAAGCAAGAGAACTGTAAGGATTGTGCTGGAAAATAAAGGGCAGGGTGTTGTTAACACAGGGACTGATGTATGCTGCTTAACCAGGCCATTAAACTGCAGAAACTACTCACATATGCAGTGTTCCCCACATGCCATTACTTCACCGGGTCAGAATGACAGACAATTTGCAACAGAGTCTCTTTTCCCCAGTTCACTCCTAAATCCTTCTCAGTAACCAGGAAGCCCTTACGCTGTGAGGCGTTATTCTGAAAACAAGGGTCAATCCATCCCACAACAAAAGCAGGGCAGTTTTATTTTCTGTTTACAGAAATGCTCAGAAACTTCTTCCCTCCTTCGTCCTTTAAGCTCTGAGCAAGGTCCAGACTGAGCTCTGATCTCTGGCTGATCTCCCCCAGCCAGTCCAGCTCAGTCCTACGTCCTCAGTTCCCTCACTTGTAGCTCACTCTTCCATGTCACTTTTTTCCTTACTTCAACAGGAAGATGAACTTCTCCTTGCATATCCAGCCTGCAATTTGCAGGCTGCATAAGAGACAGCTAGCACGTGCAAAATAAAATAATCCAAAGACTGTTTTTATCAGTGAAGTGGCAAAGAGGGGCTCTCATAGCTCAAAACAGAGCTTTCCAGTAAGCGTTTCTGCCTCTATCTATAGTATATATACACTATATACTTGCTCATATGCACAGGCTGGCTGTACATAGAGTATTGACATCAATGAGCAAAGACTGAGCAAACATGAGAACTTTCTTTGCTGTAAATCCTGCACACACTTCCAGCTATTTATTTCAGTACATTTTGCATGAATCACTATGACAGGATTTCATGAGCACAATCCCAAACCCTCCCATTTGCCTTTTACCACTTCAGTATAGACATCCATACACAGTACAACAGTAGGCATGCTACAGCTTGCCAATTACCAAAACACCAAATAAATTCCCACCTTCCAAGGTCTTCTGATCCCTTTGAAAAAATCAGGCATCCACATTGGAAGAACAACAGCTTCTCTTAATAATTTCTTGGCTTCTTCCAAATCTGCTATGTCATCCCTGTGCAAAGCAAACAAACTTATATTACCGTACAAGAATATTTCTTATGCTTTTAAACAATGAAAAACAGAGAACCTTTTCTTTCAATAGCATTTTTAGCATGTCAGTATATGCCTCACGAGAGTACTTTAACCATCCTGTGACCTAAAATTGAATCCACTCATGAGAGGTAGGGAAAAAAGGACTTTCAACTCAAGTTATCTTGAGCTGCTTAATTAAAAATTGTTTTGGACGATGTGAACATCTGAATGGTATCTTTTAAAGTTCTCTGGAGTGCACTTGCATTTCAGCAGCATTTGTAATGGTTCCATAATATGAGTTAGCAACAAAAGTCTAATTGTAATCAATTTAATAAACAGATAAAACCAAAAGACCTTGTTTTACTCCTGTGTAGAAGACCATGATGGCTCCCTATTTTAAGGGTCAGGAGAAAGATAATGAAAGTCACACAGACTGATAAGGACATTTTTCCTTCAACGTATCCTTCACTAGTAGCATATAGCTGCACTGCCTGGTGCAAGCCACAGAAAGGTACCAAGTTTTCACACACAACTCTGGCTCTCTCAGCACTCCTGCAGCTCACACACAACTCTGGCTCTCTCAGCACCCCTGCAGCAGAGGCAAGGCTTTCATCCCTGTGCTCCATAGAGAGTCCGCAAACATCTCTCGTCGTTTCCACCACAGCAGCACAGTATTTTCTTCCCAGATGCAGCTCACAGTGATAAAATCCCACCAGAGCTTATTAAACATCATAGTGGGTTGCTTGGTTTGTTTTGAATTAGCAAATGAGGCTGTAGCAATGTTAAAGCACTGCTTTGACGACTGACACGCTCCTAAATGCACAAATACAGAATCAGCTCAGCGCTGTGGGCCGTGTCGCCGCTTACCACGGCACTGAAGCTGGGAGCATCCAAAGGGTATTCGGAGTGGCTGTGTGAGCAGGAAGATGCTACTCGTCAGGGTTACACACATGGGACTCCACCGTCACTGAGAAAGAACATTAAAGTTGCTACAGCCATGGCCTTTGGTGGAGGAAAGCCAAGAAGATTCTTTCCCACTGTTTAACGAAGACCTTCCACCCAGCAGCTTCTCCTTTCCTCAACTACAATCTCTTAATTTCCCTTCTCTCGCTCCCAATCCCAACCCCCCAAGTGGTTAAAATATTTCTAAAGGGCCATATTTATTTAAGGGGTGCCCCGGAAGCCCTAAAGCGGGTCCCCAGTCACCCACACTGGTTGGAATTGCAGCAGCTTCCACATCATGCTGGACCCATCCAGCAACCCAGCCAAATCCCGCCTCCGTCCCAAGCGGCCTGCAGTTTCCAGTTAATACTTCCACAGGTAGGTTGAGCTTACAGGGCTGAAGTAACATTTTCCCTCTGAAGAACTGCGGCTCATTCTCCCCCCTGGACGCTTCAGAGGGAGGTGCTTCCCCTCCCAGCGCAAGGGCAGGGCCTGGAAAAGCAGCTGCTCTGCTCTAGCCGCAGCGCTGAACCGGGGAGCTGCTCCAGGCCGCTCCACGCAGCTCCCAAGCACGATCGGCAGCAAGTTAAGGAATCCCAGCTGGCTGCACAAGAGCAGCCCAGGCAGAGGAGCCCTGCGAGGCAGCCACGGACACGCACAAAAGCTCGCAGGGCAAAGAGGTAGGTACTGCATCCCCGCCATGCACCATCAGTCTACAAGGCCTGTGAGGAAACTGCTTGTTTCCCTGCTGTTTTTATTCCTTGCTTCCAAGTGAACTCGGTGTTGTGCAGTATTCCCAACTCGGTTTTCGCAATGGAAATTAAGCTGAAAGTTCTGTTTAGGCAAAAAGATGATGTCAGAAAAATGTAACGGCCTGGTGAAAAAAAAAAAAAAAAAGGAAACAGAAAAACCCTGTAGAGTTTGGAAGATTTTAGAAGAGAGAAAATGGAATCCAAATGTAATCCATAAAAAAGAAAAAAAATAATAAAATCATAGGTATTTGTTGCCTCTCCTCATTGCACATTTCTCTCCTATCCATCTGCAATGAATTGGTTTTCCTAATGAAATAATTTTTCTGTGCACTTTAAAAAAAGTTTTGGGGTATTTTTTCCCCAGGATGAAATGGGGTTGAGACAGGTTTTGAAAAGGAATGAGAGCCAAAGTGGATTTTGAATGTTTAAGAGTTTCCACACATAATAAAATTAGTACTGGTGGTACCAGATGGCTCCAACCTGCCATCCTCAGGCAGCAGGAGAGTGAGCAGAGCTAGAAGGGAAAAGACACCACCTGGATCGAGGCTGCTGGACTGAGCTACGCGGTCTTGTGATGCATGAGCATAACTCATGCCCTCGGCTCTCTTTCTGCTTTCTCCTTCCCGAAGGGGCCTGAAATGAGGCATCTCTGATGGCTTCTCTCTAAGCAGGTACACCCGGAGCTGTAGCGGGCAGCGAGAGGCTGCTCCTGCCCCGTCCTCTTGGCACCCCGCTGGACAACCCTTTCCTTAGGCCAACCAAGGTCCCACTCACACACGTTTAGAGACTTGCTGGGCTTTCTACTAGGAGAGGGGCTCAGAGTCGCACTGCTCTACTGGAATAAATCCTCATTTCCAAAATGAATCTGTTAGAGTTTACCCTTTGGTTTCAGTGGTCCATCTTTCACATGTTCAGCACCCAGTTGTATCCATATCACGTATCTGCTCTTCCTGCATTCACCAAATTAAATAAGACTCTTGGAACACAAGCTCTCCAGTTACCTCTTCATGTTTTTTTCCTTACCCTTATTTTATACAAACTCATTTTGTTTGAGCATGGCTGTTAAAACGCACAGAAGATACTCCCACTGCCTCTCACTAGGTCTCACACCATGGCATCAGTATTTCTTTGCTGCTTACACTTCAACAAATGCAACCTGGAGCTTCCTTCTCATTCTCAAGGCTGCATCATATTGGTGTCGTAGAGTCAACCTGAAAGAGGTCAGTTGCGTAGGATAATCCTGACCGCTGCAGTGCCCAGGACTGGGTTGTGCAGACATCTCCCCTTCCTGCAGAGCCTTCCCAGCACACACATACACGGAGTGCCACTGTTTGATGCACTCGCTGTCCTTTGCTGGCACAGCCAAAGGCAGCACCTGGCTGTTCTTCGCTTGGGCAGCTACTCATTCCCATCACCTTCAGGGAGAAGATGATATGCCAAATGAAAGTCCAGCAGGACACAACTTCTGCTGATCCATCCACATCGTTCTCCTTCTCAGCTGCTGATCTCCCAACTTCTAGCAAAAATTCTTGTTACAGTCTCCAAATGCAAAACCTTCTGCTCCGCACGGCTGAACGTTGTTATCCCATTTCCATTACTCAAGCACAGAGTCGTCCAACTCTTTTTGTACAACAGTCTGATTCTCCTCTGTTGTGATGGAGCTTCCCAATTTGGCTCCATCAGCAAACTGAATTAGCACTTTGCTATTTTTTGTGCTCAGGTCATCCATTTCAGTGTAAAACAGAAGTCAGCCTCTGGTCTTGAGGAATTCCAAAAATAATCTGCCAGTTGCTTGATACTTGGTCTTTAAGTACTCATCAATATTCCTCTTACAGCCTAATTCCTTCCCTACCTTACAATTCTATGCCACAGAGTCCCTGGTTTAACTAATTATTTCCCATGTGGCACCTTATTACATATTTTACTGAAATCTGTAAAGATGAATTTGACCATATTTCTTTTTCCAAAACATTCACAAGAACCCTAAAGAAATGTGTTAATTAAGACAATACCTGTGTTTAAGAAACCAGATTTTGTTTTATTCCTTTTCCTGGTAAATCCAAAGTCTTTCACATTCATTCCATTCTAAATTTATTCTAAGATTTTGCAAGCCATTTAGATCATCCTCTAAACACAGGCACTCCCAATGCAATTTGCCATTGATATAGGGCAGTGGTAAACCCTGGCTGAACAGTCTTTTACTGTTTAATATCTTTTGTAACATGTACCTTCCTCATCCACTGAGGATTTAAAATAATCTAAAGAACACTCCTAAAAAAATCTAGTGCTTAGGTATGGCATTATGCAATTTCTAAAAGACACACGTGTAACATTCACGCTGCCTCTTTCACTGTTCAACAGAGGCGAAAACTCTCGGCATCCGTCCAGCAGAGGCGACCTTGAGAACAAGCCTGAAGACTTCCAGGGGAATCAAGAAGAGAGAGGCACGTGAAAGCAAGTCCTTAGAAGGAGGAACAGGTAAATACGAGGACTTGGCAAATAAATGCCATCCACGTTGGCCTCAGTTGAAGAAACAGCACTACAAAAGGAGATTTTAGCTTTAGTGCAGAGTCAGGACCAAACGTATCCCTAGATGATTATGGTCTGAATGGAAAGATGATACGGTTATGGAAGGAGAAAAAGTGAAAGAAGACTTCACACTCACATAAGGAGACAAAATATTTCTAAAATACAAATACTATAGCCATATTTATCTTGAAAAATATCATAAATAAATATGTATGTTGTACCAGTAAAGGGTACAACCTGTTACACTGCAACCAGCATCTTAGGAAGTGGATATGTTACCTTCCAAGTAGTCCTAGCCATGCACGCTAAGAACCTAAGAACTAGATAGGAAAAAAAACAAAACAAAAAACACACCAGAACATTTTGTATTAAAAATAGATAGGTAGTCAGTTAGTATCAAGCTTCGGTTTTGCCTGTTACTTTCAGGTGAGCATGAAGAGTTACTGAACCTCTTTGTTTTGACATACCGGACTATGATGGCAAACTTCTCCTAGAAGTTCCAGAAACTGAAAAACATCAACACTTGCAAAGTAAGAAAGGATAAAAACCGAGAGGAAGCTAAACCTATTTTCATGCCTGTATGAAGTACAGAAAGTTGCAGTAACTGCTTTCACTTCCCACCCCTGGCTATTTCTTCTTTCACTTCCTACCCTGGCTACTTTTTCTTTGATTGAAAATTATCTTCAAAGGAAGATCATAGATTCTTTATCAAAACTGTTACACAACACATAAGAATTTGTAATCTGGCATGGTTTTTGCATAAATACCAGACAAAGAAAATAAAATAACTGCCAAGTAGGTAGACAAAGCAAAAAGAGTATTTAATGAAGAATAGACACGAGTAGCTATTTTCCTTCTGCCACCTAGTGACCAATTTATGCAGATAAGAGGAGCATTTAAAATGTACCATATTAAATGAAGCACCTTCATGACACTTCCTCTATCTGGCAACAGGGGAGTTACTGATCACTTTATTTTCAAGGATAAATATTGTACAAGTCATGTTGTTGTAGATTCCTTATAGTAAAGCCCTATAATGCTCAGAACCAGAAAGCTCTGTGAGCCAAGTTCATCCTCGTTAGAGGTAAGACTTTGGAGGCTGCCTTACATGAACACCTCTGGTGAATCAAACCTGTCACACACCGTGGTTCCAATTCCCCACGTAACTAGCAGAACTGTAAATTATTTCACATCTCTTTACAAGTTTTTTTTTTTTCAGCTTACAGGATGTACACTTGTTATTTAAAATCTCACTGATCTAAAGCAGAGAGATTTCTAAAATGAGTTATCTTGACCTGCTCAGTCACTCAGTGGCACTGCTAAACAAGCGCCTGAACTTGTCTACTCATTATAATGAGGGCTATTATTCCTTTATGTACATATATATATATATTTTTCTGGATAGGAAAAACAATTAATCTTGGTCGGGGAGCAGGGGAGGGGAAGTATATCTTTGAGTTCTTCCTGCACTGTAAAAAGACCACCTGTAATAGAGAGGCTCTGACCAAACTCATCTCAAGGAAAACTGGCTCAAATATTTTTGTATTCATCCATCAAGATCTGTACAATACTGTTTACTCAACAGGAAGGTGCTCCTTATATCTGTGCGAGGAAATAAAGCTGCTTCAGTACATTCTGGATTTGTATCATTTATACTGCACACTCCTTGGGTTCCTGGCACTGGCTCCATGGTTGAATTTAAAAATGGTTCTCAGACATTAAAACTTATGTACAAAACCATCAACGTTTCCCAGCCACAATACAGTCTTTCCTAAATATTGTTTTTGATATCACTACTTGATAGTGACTGGTAGCATCTCCTTTTCTTTCACCTCAGCACTGCTTCTCTTTCACATATCTTTAAGGATAAGAATTTCCAACTTAGTCCAATTCACATCATTGTTTTCTACAGCACCTTTCCAGAAAAGATCCTCGTAAGTATTATTATAAACACAAAAGCCTTCTGTAGACAAAGAAAAAAAATAAAGTTGCTGAGAGTTTAGGTTCAATACATCTACATCACATAATTTTCAAATATATAATCTTAAGTAATTTAGTACACATCTGCACAATATCACAGAGCTTACACAACTGTCATAAAAATTTTAAGCACACCTGATTTTTACTGTGGCATTAGACAAGCAAGTATACAGTGGAATTCTGTTCATAATGATTAATCTAAAGGAGGGCAATTATCTCACTTTTGTACATTTTACATGGAAATCTTTACAAGAGATCTGAATTGGATCCTCTTAAAAAGACGAAGGAGGGAGAAGTAGCTTTACACTTGTTTTAAATCGACAGATTAGATTCAAGTCCATGATCTAGTTGAGACAAAATAAATACCCAGCGGCAAGCTACCATGGTTGTAACAACAACAAAAAAATCTTCTCCAATGAAGGGAGAGCAAACATCACAGTGTTTCTGCTTGACCTGGTGTCATTACAGCTAAATCTCCTCATAGTATGTGCTTTGTCCATGACGTTAGAGGAAAGAAGCAAGTTTTCTTGCACAGGACTATTGTTACGCTGTTGTATTAAGCAACTAAAAATAAGAATGTTTTCCTTTGCTACCAGCTGCATTATAAGTCCTTCCCCCTCTTCAGGCCCTCTTCTTACCTTGTCATCCCTTCCTCTAGCTCTAGATTCCCTTTCTCGGCTACTTGTGGCCTTGTCACTTTTTGATGCTGGGTGTGCTCTGCCCGCGGGCCCGCGCGGCTGCAGTCCTGGTGATTCCTTCCTCAAAGGTTTTACTTCTCGGTTGGGACGTTTTATCTGAGGTGGGGCCCTAGCAACAAGAAACCACAACAAACACATGCTAAAAACGTACTGTGTAAAAAAGAGCAGCTTTAGGAAGGAAGAATTGAGACTTCATTAATTCCCTTGGTGAATTATTACCAAAGCTAACAGCCCCCGAGTCTTACCTCCCTATAATTGTAAATCCAGCAACATTTTTGCTTCTGCCAGACACCCAGAAGAGAAATAAAGGAAAAAAAATAAAAAAGAAAAAGGTAAAAATAGTTTAGTAGAGGGGAAAAAAAAAGAAAATCATCATTACCTTTATATCAGTACTCCCAAACAATCCTACAACAACACGTAATAAAAAAGAAGGCCCAGTTAAGTCAGTTAATTCAGGTAAAATCTTTAAAATAGTTCCTTAGATTATAGTAATATTTTAGGTTACATTCACATGCACAAGTTCTGTACAAAAAAGACATTCCTGACAAGAAGCTGGTTAATAGCTTTGGCAGGCCCCAACAAAGGGAGAAAGAAGGAGGCGGGGGAAAACCCTACTTCCAATTTCACTGCCCTATGTGAAAATTTCAAAACATAAAAATTGCCTAGAAAGCAAAAGCAGACAGAGCCAAACTGCAACTATCTATCCTTGTGTGCATCATCCACTGACGTCAAAGACAACTCAGTACTGGCCCGAGGAGGCAGAATTTGTTTCTAAGATGAGGCCTCACAGTTGTTTTCTCTAGAAATCAAACTTCAAATACAGAACGAAAAAGCATGGGCAGAATGTCATTCAACATCCAATGTTCCCTGGTAAATCCTCTACTGATTCTGGGTCTCAGTAATTAAAAATTTGTTAACTGCAAAAAAAAAATTCCTGGAATATGACTTACCTGCAGTCCTGAATACAAGTATTACATTTTGCTTTTTATATCTATATATATCTATATCTATATATATAGATATAGATATTCATTAAACATGATAGAATAGAGCAGCTGCTAACTTTCCTTACTTATCTCCACAAGATTTAAAATCATCTTAAAAATAGGAATGATTGAGTCCTTAACTCTAAGAAAAATACATGAATGAATACACTGTGCATTTCACATAGTGTTAAAGTAAAATTTTTTGATAACTGCTTATATCACTCAGAAAAGTAATGAGCTAAACAACATTACTATTATTTTACACTTACACCTTTAATATTTTTTGAAAAGAGAAGACCGATCTCTTTGATAGTCTCAAGCACGTGAATTTACCATTAATCTTGTCATTTCTGCTAACCAAAAAGATCTCTCACTTTCTCACTTCCCTTTCTTTTTTCACTTACAGGAATATACGCACACTGATTTTTTTTGAATTATTATAAAGTTAGAAGAATGTTGGCACGATAAACTTTGTTCTTTATATATATATATATATACATATATATATATTTATTTGACGCCTTTCTTCCAACAACCAGTGTCAAACTCCATTAGAGTGAATATAAGCATTTCACAAAATGAATGAGCAAGTCATTTAAAGAAAACGATTAGTTAAATAAAGTTACCCTTAAGGTCGTTATAGAAGAAAACGCCCAAGTATTACGGAATGCCTGGTGAGGCCGCATCTGGAGTACTGTGTCCAGTTTTGGGCCCCACAGTACAAGAGGGATGTGATGCTGCTGGAGAGAGTCCAGCGCAGGGCTACGAGGATGATCAGGGGCCTGGAACATCTGCCCTATGAGGAGAGGCTGGGGGAGCTGGGCCTGTTCCGCCTGGAGAAGAGAAGGCTGAGAGGGGCTCTAATCAGTGTCTATAAGTACCTCAAGGGAGGGAGTGCAGAGGACGGTGATGGTCTCTTTTCAGTGGTGGCCACTGATAGGACTAGAGGAAATGGCCGGAAACTGAAACATCAAAAATTCCATAGGAACTTAAGGAAAAATTTCTTAACAGTGAGGGTGACAGAGCACTGGAACAGGCTGCCCAGAGAGGTTGTGGAGTCTCCTTCTCTGGAGATCTTCAAAACCCGCTTGGACGCAGTCCTGCGCCACGTGCTTTAGGTGTCCCTGCGTATGCAGGGGGGTTGGACTAGATGATCTCTAGAGGTCCCTTCCAACCCTAAGCATTCTATGATTCTATGATTCTATGAAATAAAGTTACCCTTAAGGTGGTTATAGAAGAAAACGCCCAAGTATTGCGGAATGTGTTTTGCATTAAAACTAACCAGCTGATTATAAACATAGGTCACATTTTCGGTAGCTGGGGAGCAATTTCTAACTACTGTGTCCACCAAGGTTTTCAAGTTCCAACTCCCTGCTGGGTTCCCAGCCATCAATGAATTCAACTGGTTAAATAAACTGGAATAAAAAGTTTTCTGGCTGCACACGACAACGGCTACTGTCACCAAAAGCTCTTTTAGTTCTTCGGTAGCCCCTGGTTCCAGAAACCTGTCTAGCCATTCCTACCAGGATAAAAGCCTGACTTTCTTTAGCACTTCAGCAATAAATCTGAACTGTAATTTAATTACATTGTTTCCAATGAATTATACCTATACTTTACATAATCACTGCAAATGATTAAAGTGTAAATGGAATGTGATTTTCACGTTACAGATATATTCATAATAGAGCATGAATTTCAGGCAACCCAGTTTCATTCCATCCACCCTGCTCGAGCCTCTCCTTACCTGTGTTCAGCTGGAACAGGAGGGGGCCAAACGGCAGGATCTCTGAAAGGCTCATCTTGACAGGATACAGGGATATCTGCAGGTCTCTCCATTTTAAAACTCTCTAAAGTGCTGACAATGCTCTTAACTTGCTCATACTCTTCAACCAGTTCTTGTCGGACCTTCAGAAACACACACATTTTTAAAAATTGTTACAATTTAACCTTTTTTTCCATTTTGTTTTACCGCAGGAGTCCAAAACACTTCCCTCAAAAGCAGGGATTCCCAAGCCTCTCCATTCACAAGGCCCAGGCGTGTCAGACTGACAGTAGCTTCTTAATGACAGCAGAAACAACCGAATCCGTAAGGTCCATCTTCCTGCTTGCCAATGTCACGCAGCTGATTTTATACTTGGAGTTTCCACTAGCCAGGGAATTAGAATGAGAACAGTAATTTCAAGATTCTTTACTTAACAAGAGTCATTTTGTAGCAGCTGACCAATGGCATGATCCAGGTCCCAGTAAATCAAAGACCTTTTCTGTAGGACACCTATTTCAGTTTTTCAATACCCTTGAAACCTAGGAAATATAACACTTGGGTAACATTTTCATAATGTTTACGTCATACGTCTTGTTATAAGCTCAGATTTTCTCTGCTCAATGAGGTCTTAGTGCACATCAGCAGCCAAAAAATGCACTGTACTTTCTTGCTCACAACTAACAAGTTTTCAGAGTGTTAAAGACACGGAGGATTCACTGAGTGCACCAACAGAGCATTTTACCAGTTCTCCACCTAGCACTCAGGGATGCTTTCCATTCTGGGAGGCCAGTCTCCACACGGGACCCATTCCAGATATTCAAAATGACTGCTGCAGCCCCCCACTTTTGGTAGGCCAGATCCAAGACAGAAAGAATTCAGACATAAGCGTTTGCTGGTTTATATAAGAATGAACAAATAAATGGGCATCAATCAGGAAATAGCATCATATCTTTCTGGAAGCTACAGTTCTCCTAAAGTACTGCCAGGTGCATCCCACAGCAATGTATGCTCTGTAATATCTTCCAGGAATCTCCCCGCTGCAAGGAGGAAACGGGAGATTTCAGAAGCACAAAGAGATTCTCTTGGATTAACTTAAACTCAAATAAAAAAAAAAAAAAAAAAGACTATCGTCTGCAAGACACCAGCGAGAAAAGAGGCAAAGGGAAAGGGTTAATCCCTGAGGTCCTACACAGCTCTGGCAAAACTGCAAGTACTTCCCCACCAGCAGTAAGTGCATCTGTGCAGAGGCAGCCTTAGGTACAGGAAGTGCTTTATCATTCCCAAGGCAAAGCAGCCCTCGTGCTCACGCCAGATGGACTAGCTGTTTCCTTCCAGGGACACAGGACATCCAGCTCGGGCAGGACTGTCCTAGTAAAGACACTCAATACTCCACACGCTCCCTCTGCTCTTTCTCTGCTTTCTCGTCACACGCTCAGCAGACGCATCCCCCAGCGCAAGAACCTCCTGCTGAGTTACAAGTGTGAGTGATTACTAACTCGGTTCCCTCAAACTATCTAACACACATCCCTCGTGTTCAAAAATAACAGCAGCCAAACAGCTGCTGAGACCTACTGAGAGTGATACGGCATAAATCTTGCCGGGCAGCACTCCACGAGAGGCGGCCGTTTCGTACACCAGCTCTGCAGCAACACGGGCAGATTCCTCCTACCAACATTCATGCAGAAAAGCCAGTGGAGAACAGCTTGCCACTGAGGTCCGGGACGCTGACGTTGAGATCTCTGAATCAGAAGGGAAGACGATGTCTCAAAATGGAAGGACAGCGAGCCTTGGGTGCCTTGGAAGTTGAAAACAAACTAACAACTGCTGGTCATTTCTTTTAAAAAGCCTGAGCAGACTCATTTTCAAATATACAACCCTTTGCCCCATACACCTTTTTCTCAGATATAACAGCCTCCACGTGGCTTGTACTCAGGGTCTAGAGACCCCAAAGAAAACCTTCAGGTTATTCACGTCCGAACAGTTTCAGGAACTGGCATGGGCCGAGTTAACAGCTCACCACTGCCAAAAAGGGAGGTCTCTCCTCATTTTTTTCTGCCCAGCCACACACTATTGCCGCTCTTCTATATTCAACTCTGGCACTGATCTCAATACAGGAACGCAGTTCAGCTTGGTAAAATGGCAGGAAACAGGGCAGCAAAAAGAAAGCTAGAGGCCGGTACTGCTGGGTTAGCAAGCTGAATTGGTTTGTCAGCCTGTGATCAGATGAGTACCAGGAATGGGCACAGAGTGGGGAGTGAAGCTGGTGCAGTTAGGGGGAAGACAGGGCAAGGCCCCCGCCAGCCACGTCACCTCTTCAGCACCAGCAGCAGCCCCAGCACCGTGTGAGCTTGGGAGCCCAGGACGAAGCCTGCGAGGCTGAGTATTCCAGCCCTAGAGATTTACAGAATGACCAAGCAGAGACACATCCCAACACAGGGCTGTAAGACACTGTGAGCAAGAGATGAGTCCCCTGATACTCAGTGTAGCTGTAAAAACACTTCACAGACTGAACCGTGCTCAAAAATAGGAAAAAAAAAAACCCTCATAGTTTATTCTCAACGCAAGAAGCCCACTGCACCTAATCACCTGCTCCAGTGACTGCAGCTGGAAAGGGCACCTTGCTGGCCGCTCAGGGTGCTCTGAGAGTGCTTGAACTCCTGCCTGGCGGCTCCGGCGGAGGCTCCGCGCTCTCGTGTGTGCTGCATCACGCAGCGCGCGGCTGTAACACGCAGCAGGTTTTGCTCGACAGCCTCTGGCCGTGTCGCGGGGCAGCGCGATCCCCGGGGCACGCGCTGCTGTCACTCTGCAGCTGCCCAGCTGACGCGGAGGCAGCTCTTCCCGACAAGCCAGCTGTCTAGCAACAGGACTGCAGCCGCCACGGTACTCGCTCAGAATAAAAAGGAGGAATGTCAACATCAGTAAAGTTCACAGGGCTGGTCACAAGAGTAAATCTACCTTTTATTGTTGCTAAGCAAAAAAAAAAAAAAAAAAAAAGAGATGAGTTCTTCACACTTTGAATCTTTCCAGACCATCCTGCATTTACGTGGCTGAATGTGTCTCAGAGCACAGGAGTGGTGTGTGTGTATATATATTTAATGAGCTCAGGGTCCTAAGAGGGAGGATAGGAATGGGATTACCCTTAGGCACCCAAAAGGAAGTTGGGAACTCCCTGGATGCAAAACAAGTACCTGGAGCTCAGTAGCATCACAGATCTCCCTGAGCTAAGTTCATCACCACAGAATCACAGTGAACTCCTATAGGGTTGGGGAGCTCTCGTGTTGTCACACTGCCACTTTGGAGGACTCGGCACTGGCCTTCAGGATGCATCCTTTCTCCATTTGAACTTCTGCTCCGCGCTGCTAACACAATCCCTCCCCACAAGTCACTATTGGTTTTGAAGCCCCGGAGCAACATTGCTTCAGGTGGAACTCAATCGAGAAGCCTCTTCTGGAGGAGCAGCTGATGGGCATCCACATTCCCATTCCTCCTAACTGTCCTCTCAGCATGAGGCATAAAGACTTCTTGATAACAGGGTGCAAAGTTGCAAAACAGGACCTGTCTGGTCACGCTACATGAAATACAAGCTGCAGCACTGAACATCATTCTGTCCAGACCAACCCGTGGAAATTCGCAAGCAGTGATAGCTAAGCAAAGGGGGCAGACTAAGGATATTTGGGAGTCTGATCCAAAATCCCAGTGCTTCTGGCTTAGCTCTGTCCTGCATCCCTCAGTACACTACTGAGAAAGAAAACCCTGTGTAGTACGGAGGGCAACAAGACATATTATTCAGCACGAAGTACCACTCAGGGTGGAGCTCCCACCGTACAGATGTGACCATATAGGAAGAACAGCAGTTCACAAAACAGGGCAGAATTAACTTAGCTAGAGAGACATAGCTGTAAATATTATTTGAGATACACTATTCCTATTAATGTTCTCATTTTATGGCAGAACTTGACCACCACTTGACCACTTGAAACTAATACCTGACCACCCCATAAATACTATAACATACACCCTGCTTATAGGCCAGGCACAAATGAATTTAAAAAAGTATGTTTCATGCTATGGGATTCCCTCAGCTTCTAATTCCTAGGAATCCTTCAGGGGCTCATGGAAAAGGATAGATGCAAATGTACATGGAGACAATCCATTTTGAAGAAAAAATAGTTTAAATAACAAACTCCGCTGCCCCTGAGCACCTACCTGTATACACATGCACACCGTGAACAGTTCCTAACAAACTCCGCTGCCCCTGAGCACCTACCTACCTGTATACACATGCACACTGTGAACAGCTCCTAAGAGCAACCTGTAGGAGCTCTACCCAGCCAGCAGCTGCTAGGAATTCTGACTTTCCAAACCGGGATGCTATTGCTGAGATTAGCACCAGCAATTGCCACGACCCATTTTGACAGATCTCAGCTGCCACCACCACGTTGGGAAGTTTCAGAATCAACATGAGAGCAGCACGAGAGATGCTACTCCATCGCTGCTGATCTTTCTCGAGGCTGGTTTCTAAACTGACACCGCCAGAAGCCACCCTGCTTTTCCCTAAAAGGGGTAACTCCTGAGAGGGTGCAGGATGTGCAATTCTCTGCAAAGGAGCCTTCTCCAAGGAATTATCCTGGAGACTGAGTCAAGCCCCTTTTTCCCTGGGGCTTGTAACCAATGCACAGCACACATTTCCATGCCTCAGGCTTCTCTGAAGCAGTTCAAGCAACACACAAAGTTGTGTTGTCTTCACAAGACAACAGCTGTTGGAAGTTTAATAGAAGAATTAAAGTAATCACAGAAAATACTAAATACTAAAAGTGAAGGCAGTGCAGTGATGCATCTGCAGAACAGAAAACCTCATCTTCCAACTCAACTACAAGTTTAGCAGGAGCTTAGGTTATGCCTAGACCATGAACTTCTCTTTTTTTTCTTTTTTTTTTTCATTTTCTTTTTTTTTAAATAGTCACTATGGCTGGAGTGGGGGAAACCTGAACACAAATTCTTTACAGTAAGTATCTCCTATACAATATTCAGCATATTACATCACCAAGAAAGCTAGGCACTATAACAGCTGTTAATGCACACACATGGTTTGCAGGCAAACTTAATATGTAGACAGACCCTTAAATAGCTAGGGTAAAGACCTATGCATAATATTATCATTAGAAAATGATTAATAGCAGTGATTTAGCCATCATTACACAAAATACTCTGTTAATGTCAGATGTTTGAAGCACCAAAACATATCCAAAGCACCTGCTGCAATAAAAAGGAAAAAAAAAAGTGTTTCTGTGTAAGTAACATCATTTAAACAGATTGATATTAAGAAAAACATCTTGAAGTCATCTTTTCAGCTGCAAAAGTATCCGTAAAATTAAATCTTTTATAGGAGCTATGTATGACTTTCACAAATATTTACACAAAATGAGTTATTTATTCTGAAATGCACCTTTATATGTTTATCGCTCAGGATGAGATGGAACACATTTTGTGTAATAAAAAGATGGGATGACAAAATGTCAGGAAGACTTGAGTACTGAATGCGCTAATGAGAGTCCTTACATTTCACACCTGTAGATTCGCTCACTGATTTCAGCTGTTTCTGCTGGCAGGGTGTTCAGATGTTTGCAAGATCCAAGGTGAGAGCTAATAGTTCAAGTTTTAGAAACCTGATCCAAATTTACATCGTATCATTTTAACTGACTGCTACTCAGACAACCATTCTAGTGATGCTAACTCATCCATGCACATCTCAGTGTGCTGCGTGTTAGACGGGCAAAACAGCACATCAGCAAAACAGTTTTTCCAAAGTATTCAGTCACACACAATTAGCTCAGTGATTAGCCAGACACACTTCGTGAAAACAAGAAAATGGATTCAATGGAAACAAAAGAACTTTTAAATATGCCGCAGGATATACTGGCTGAAAAATATCAACTATATATCGTGAACAAAATTTTCTAAACTTAGAAATATACATCACATACATCTTATAGTTTGGGAAACGCAGTGCATGTTTCAAATATCAGAATATAATAATAATGGCAACTTTATTTTCCTGTACCTGTTGCCATTTGCCCTTAATTGCTGGATCCCTGATGGACTGACAATGCCTCTGGATCTGCTGGATGACACCTTGGTAATACACCATTGATGAGTCGTAATTCCCAAGGAGGGCATATTCTCTTCCTTTTTTGGCATTATCACAAATCTCTGCTAAATTCATCTTCCCTCAGAAATCTAAAAGAAAAGCAGAATCATTAGAAAATAAGATGAGATGTCATAAGACATTTTACAATGATATTTTACATGAAACTTTGATTTTTCTATTTCTCTCATAACTGAATTATGTTTTCTTTTCCCCTTTTATGAACCATTTAGCTCTGGAGAAATCTCTCTTTACTAGCCTAAGGTCTAAGATCCTAAATCAGAACTGCTTTATCAGTGATAAAAGGAAAAATCAACCTCCTCACTGTCTTTGGCCCCAGTCCTGTTTAATTAGTGCAAGAAAATCAAATGCCCTGTGTACACTGAACACCTTGTTGACCTCAAGGACCCAACCAGCCAAGCTTTAACTTATGGAACACCACAGTATATGAGCAATGAGTAACCCATGAATCAAAAATCACATGAGGCATTAAATTGCTTATTATGCAGCTATATTACATATGTTCCTCAATGCACCAACCACCATCAGGGCAGTCTCCACTAAACACTTTGATGAGCCTTTATCCTAAAGGGATGACAATACAGTTGAACAACAGCTCAACTATAGACAAATTTGAGAACTTCACTCTGTTTAAATATCATTCTTTCAAGCATCCACGCTCTTACTGGGCTTTCTCACAAAATTCAACACATCCCTTTGGGATTATAGCGGTTAGTGACCTAAATTTAGGATTTCTGGAAACAGCAATTCCAAAAACATATCATTCCTCTAGCCCCCAAACAATGCAAGATTGGCAGGTTTCACTAATGTAGTTTTATAAAAGCAGCAAATCACAGTAGGCCTAAAGCAAATCCACAGAGTCCAACTTTTCCCAGCAACCACCCAATAACAAAACCACACGTACAAGAATAAGCTCTAATGTACAGCTAGGTTTGTATTTAAGGTTCAAGATCTGCGGACTACCTACCTGTTTTATAAAACAGGCAGGACAAGATTAAGATATTAAGGAGGATGTATCTTGTGCTTAGCAAAATTCAAACAGGGAAATACAGGGTTAAATATATATCCACATGACCTTCATTCTGCCTTCTGAATGATGCCTATAGCAAATATACATTCTGCCTCTGAATGTGCCAAGCGGATGATTTGGGTTTCTGCGCACACTCGTGTACTAGGTGGGCCCTGGAGGCCACTTGCCCTCGCCCTGTGTCTCACATTTCAGCTTTCCAATCACTCCCATCAGCTGTTACGATCTTCTGGGTGGAAGAACTATCATGGAAAGGGTAAATACCTTGAGTTTGTCTTCTCTTGCTGCTGAGGAAGAGCGAGGAATATCACTTAGTACTATGGTAGTTGAGATTTCTTTTCCATTTAATTTTGAAATACAGAAAATTATAACCAAGAGGAAATAGGGACAAATCATTGCATTACACTGGAAACACAAGAAGAAGTTCAACTGGACACAGGTGACAATCTGAACCCATTCAGATTCAGAGAGCAGACTGGTGAGTGAAGAGAATACAGCACCCAACCTTCAAACCATCCACCCATCCAACCATCTCATGTCGGGATGAGAACTTTTTATACAAACAACTTATCCTCATATGGAAGACAGGCTGCAAACCTATGGAGGTTTTCCCCATACAGAGGAAAAAAAACCAAACACAACATTTATAAAGAACTGCTACACTTAATTCCTAGAAATCCAGAATATTAAAGAAGAATGTACTTATTTTAGCAGTCTCTCTTCTCTGCTTACTATAGGTAGCTCCCACCCTCTCGGGCCTGTGTTCAATTCCCTTTTACCTTTGGAGGACTGAAACTCCCATCCTGCTTCCTTTAATCCCTTAAAGCTCCCTTAAAGGATGCTCTACTTCCTGGAGGGGACAACCTCCCTGTCCCCAGAGGAAGCTGGGACAACCTGGTTCCAAGCAGGAACACCAGGTGCAGAAGAAACACAAAACACATGCTTAATTTAGAAGAGTTTTAGTGGAGAGCGATGGGAATCCCAGAATGGCTGAGGTTGGAAGGGGCCTCCAGAGATCATCTAGTCCAACCCCTCCTGCTCCAGCAGGGACACCTAGAGCACGTGGCACAGGGTGGCATCCAGGCGGGTTTGGAAGATCTCCAGAGAAAGAGACTCCACAACCTCTCTGGGCAGCCTGTTCCAGTGCTCTGTCACCCTCACAGGAAAGAAGTTCTTCCTCACATGGAGATGGAACTTCATTTATCCCCATTACCTCTTGTCCTGTCAACGAGCACCACTGAGAAGAGTTTGGTCACTTCTTCTTTACATTCTCCCATCAGATATTTATACATATTGATCAGATCCCCTCTCAATCTTCCCTTCTCCAAGCTACACAGACCCAGCTCACTTAGTCCACTCATCTAACCCCACTTCCTCAGCTTCCCTATGAGAATGGTACGGGAGATGGTGTCGAATTCTTGCTGAAGTCAAAGCAGACAACAGCCACGTCTCTCCCCTCATCCATCCATCCAGTCGTCTCATCGTAGAAGGCCCGGAACATCCTAGCACCAGGAACACATGATGCAGAGGATGCACAAACACATGCTTAATTTAGAGGAACTTCAGTGGAGATAGCTGGGAAGCAGAAGAGGTGGGAAAATCTATATGTATTTTAAACTGAAGAGGGAAACCAAGCAATTCTTTGAGGTCCTGTTACAGAAAGACCTGCTATTTAATGACTGAAGATGGTTTAAACAAATTACAAATCTTTTATGCACCTCAGGCAATGTTGATTCAGAACAGCCAACTTCTAAAAGCAGCCAAAAAATTCTAAATTCTAAAGGCATGTCCAAAATTAAAGAAAACTTGTAGCTATTTTGAGAAGATTATTTTTCTTGGTCTTCTGGACACCCTGCTCTTCAACAGAGGGTGGGAGGGATGGTGTGACTAGAGTTTTGTTTGCATTTTTTTAAAAATGCATACTCATTATTTGATCTACAGCAATAATGTAGAGTTTGTACAACATTATATAGAGAATATCTGTATATAATAGACAATAGATCCTAGAAATATAAAACTCATTAATAGTTAAATATATATTTTGTTTCCCCCCCGTTTTTTTTTCCTACCACATCACGGTCACATCCTTTAAGTAAACACAGAGCCTGCGACAACTGTGATCAGGTATATTTAGAACAACTTACACAATCCTTTTGACACCAGCTTTCCATCTAATCATCGCGTGGTTCTTTCCTGCACTAGACCGTAACAGCCCCACTGCACGCCAGGATACCCTCCGAGATTCCCGAGTTCACGGATCACTGACAAGAAGAGACACTGCAGACATCCATGTCAGTAGCTGCCATACATGGGGTCTTAAGCCCACTTGTTAAAAACCCTGCCTGGGCTCGGCTGAAAGGTCACAGGGGATATTACTTGCTATTCTTTGGAGCATAAGCTGAGCTCATCCCTATCAAGGGTCAGAGAAAAAATTCTTTCCCTCAGAAATGCAGCAGCACGTAATTGAGCAAGATCCAAGCACTTTGGATCAAAAAAAAAAAAAAAGAAAGAAACACAAAAAGCACACTCTAAAACATTAAACATGGACAAACATAGATAAATATATCCACAAGCACAGTTGCAGTATGAGTGCTGGGTGGTTGGAGGGGGGATGTAGTGACTGCTTCTTTAGGATGCCATTCCTAACCTGTGCACCCTAATGCGGGATGACTGTCCCCCCTTCTAGCTTGGCTCCCACCTACCCTGACCCATGGGGCTATCAGAGGCAGTAAATGCCCTCCCCGATAGGTGAGGTCAGGAACAGGATTTCACCTGCTGTTTGTTACTGTTCCTAAGTTTGCAAGCGTCCAAATGACGGCATCTCTGCAGTCTCTGTGCATGCCCTTTGTGCATCACATGTTTTGATACATGTTTTTACACGACTGTGGCCCGTTTTCTCCACAGGTGCTTGATTCCCACACTGAATGGATGATGCTCACCAAAACGAGCAGTTACTTAATTTTCCTTTATCTGCATTATCTCTACAGTCATATCAATCCTATTTACTGCATAGGATAGGCATACCACATAAGCATTTACTGCATTTCTTTTTAACAAATTACTTATTAATTCCCTCCCTGATAAGGTCATGACATATTTAGCTTTCCCTGGACATGTGTCTTTCTCTGATTGAAATTTTCTCCACACAGACCAAAAATTTTCCACAGCTCCCTGCGATTTCTAGACATATGGTCTCACACCGAGCAGCTGTGCAGTCCTGCTGACTGGACAGCTGAACATCTGCAAAGGCCCAGACAGGCACAGACGAACATTGGTCACCAATTCTGTCTCTGATTTTCTGCACGTCAGACATACAGCATAATGTCGGGCATCCGGAAATTCAACGCAGAAGACCTGACTTCACAAGACAGAATTCCATACAAGGCATCATCCTCCTGGAAGCCAGTGCCAAAGCATTCTTATGTTTTTCAGTCCTGCAGACCAGAACCAGGATGGCCCTCGGACACTGCACAGCCCCACGTGGGTGACTTTCCACACAGAGCGAAACACGTGATCCGTGGAGAAGCAGTATGTGACTGAGACTGATAAAACGCTGATGCGCCTGAGGGTTAAGGTTGAACAGGAAGGTGGCATTGTGGCATTTCCTTTTTACTGCCTGACCTCTCAAAATAAAATAACACATTGACTGCAGCAATAAGAAGACATGGCTTTTGTGGTTATGATCTGTTCAGGGATTCCTCCTTCCAAAGGGACTGGTAAACTCTGAATTTTTACGCCTTTCTAGAACTTGGTTACAGACCAGTCTTTTCTCCCTCGCATCCACTGACCCGCAAGCCACGCATCGGAGCCCTCCTTCCAGGAAGCTACACACCGCGACACACCGCGACGCTCCCAGGAAACTGTAACGCTGGAGAGCGAATCCTGGCCACTAACGGAAAGAGGGAAAAAAAGCAGACTCAAGCACTGGACCTCTGATGGTCCCGATTTCACTGCCAATGCACCCCCGGGTCTGCCCAAGCAGGGAGACACCACCTGCAGCACCAGCACTGCTGTATTTCCCACAGCAGATAGAGCTGCGA